CATTAAAACATACTGGTCATTTTAAACTCTGAATCTTTTTCTATGTGTGATTTTGTAACATCATGCATTGGTCATTTGTGGAAAATATTAGTTCACTATGTAGATTTTACAAATGTTGATATTTCATTGCACCATATCCCAGAAAAAAAGAATACTAATATCACTACCAATTTCATAAAAAATACCTTTTTAATATTCACTCTATTATTTTTGTTGTAATTCCTCACCTGAAGCTATTTTTCCACTGATATTTTTAGAGAGACTGGGAGGGGAGAGACAGAGTGGAACACCAATGTGAGACAAACACATTAACTGGTTGTCTCTCGCACCCATCCTGGCCAGGGCTGGGGACCTAGCCTGCAATCGAGGTACATGCCCTCAACTGGAATCGAACCCAGGGCCTTTCAGTACAGGGCTAACCTCTACCCACTGAGCCAAACCAGCAAGGGCAAAAATCCCTTTAAATATGAAGAATCTGTCAAGCTCATGGCAGCAGATTAAGTTTCCCAAAATTCTAATTTTTATTTAAAAGCTCTATATCTTCCTCTTAATTAAGTACTAAAAAAAGGCCTTTTCCGGGTAGCTCATTGGTTAGAGCATTGTCAAAAAATGCAAGGTTTTCCAGATCCCCAGTCGGGGCTCATATAAAAAGCAAACAATGAATGTATAAATAAGTAGAACAACAAAATGTTTCTCTCCTTCTCTCTCTCAATCAATAAAATAAAAAAATTTAAGGAGAAAAAAAAGGAGTCGTCAAAAGAAGCCTTTTTTAGGAAGCAACATTTGAAGTGAGGAGCCCTCCACACAAGGACACTGGTTCTCAAACTTGTGCATCAGAATCACCTGGAAGAGCTGTTACAGACTGCTGACCGGGCTGTGGTGGGCACACAATGTGCATTCCTAACAAGCTCACAGGTGATGCTGACCATGCTGGTCCGAAAGCTACAGGAGGCAGAGATCTCAGGGAACGGCTAAAGGGTGAATAACTTCCTTGTGTTAAATAGAGGAACAGAGAAAAAGGTCAGTTAGGAGGGAGGGCATGTACTTGTCATCACTTCAGAAACACTTAAAATGGTGAATTAATCTACCAGCTATGGCTTCCCAGGCTAGAGATGGAATCAGGTTGTTCAACAATACCTTGCATCTGCAAAGCATTTCACAGTTCATAAAAACATGTTCATATTTATTTAATTTGACTCAATGAGACGTATGTGAAGGACTATTAGCTACATTGTAGATAAACTGAAGGACAAAAACATCATGAACCTGAGGGAACCAGAAAACAAGTAGCAGAACTAGGTTGCCCGACACCAAACCCAGTGTTCCTTCCAGAACAGCAAGCTGGCTTTTTAAAAAGCAAAGATACAGGAGTTAATACTAACCAATTATTTCTCAATTCCATACCAAAAAACATGGTGGCTCCAGACTTCATTCGTTTTAGATACTGGTTAGAAAGCAACATTTCCTTAAGATTAACAGTGTTTAGTCCCATCTACTTATTTCTACCAGTTCAAAAACAAAGCATGTAGAAATACAGAGGGAATTTAGAGACTATTGTTCTCTTGCCTGCGTATACATTAGAGAGCCAACGGCATTACTCCAGTCCCTTAGCCACAGCAGTCAGTTTTCATCCTGTGCTCCTTCCCAATCTCCCACAATCCAGGTTCCCACAGAACACTGAGCCCCCCTTCTTACTACTCAGGAGGCCAGGAGCTTATACACCAATGCTCACCTCTAAGCATCTATTACCACTGAGTATCTTCTCCACCAATCAAACCCTTCTCTCTCGTTCTGTTAATCCGCACCTGAAGATACCCCATCCCCCACTGGTTTTTAGGAAAGAGTGAAAGGGCCCTGCGGGCAGTTCGCTTCCCGCCAGGGCACTTGCCCAGGTTTCAGGCTCAATTCCCAGTGTGGGGCGTGCAGAGGCAGCCAATCAATGATTCTCTCTCAACACTGATGGTTTTATCCCTCCCTTCCTCTTAAAATCAATGACAATATTAAAAAAAATGGGAGGGAGGGAGGGAGGGAGCACTGATGTGAAAGAGACACAGTCACAGGCTGCCTCCCGCACGCGCCTCTACCAGGGCTTGGATCAGGCCTGCAGCCCAGGTGGATGCCCTTGGCCGGAATCAAACCCAGATCCTCAGGTCCCTGAGCCAACATCCTAACCTTATTCTTAACATTCTTACCTGAATGCCTCAGTACTTCAAACCCAGAACATCCCAAACTAAAATAATATCCTGCCCTCACCACACACACACCCTGCCCTGAGCCTGAATTATTTTCTTTTTAATGTTTCGATAGATTTGAGAGGAAACATTGTGAGAAACGTACATTGGCTGCCAGCGATTGACCCAAAACCTGGGCATGTGCCCCCAGGAATCGAACCAGCGACCTCGTGGTGCATGTGACAACACTAAACCAACTGAGCAACACAGGCAGGGCCTGAATTCTTTCATTTGCTGTCAGCACTGTTCCCATCTCCATTGCCATGGCTACTCACAACTAGTTACTAATAAAAAACTAGCTGCCATTTCATTAATAACTACCAGTTAGTACTAGTTACTGTATACACATCATTCTATCAATAGCCCTATGAGGTAGGTAATTCTGTCCTTATTTCACAAATGAGAAAGCTTAGGCTGAGAAAAATTAATCTGTCCATGTCACAAGTAGGAAGTGACAAAGTAAACATCCAAACTCAAACATATCTCCCCAAGTCCATACCTTTGCCCCATAGCAAAATATTTATTTCTTTAATACCTGATATCAGTCCTCTACTACCCATTCCAAATTTGTCACCTAGAGAACTTCAATATTCTAACTCACGTGTCAAACACAAGGCCCGCGGGCCAAATCCGTCCCGCCAGGCCTTGCAATGTGGCCTGCACCGCGCTGTCATCACTGCACTCCGCTGCGTTTCCATCACAATGACAGTTTATGACTGTTCAGTAAACCATTCGGCCCGCGATTTAGGCTGGATTTTAGATTTTGGCCCCTTCTCTGATTGAGTTTGACACCCCTATTCTAACTGGTCTGCCCTCCGTCCTTGCCTTCCCTTCCCTTTCAATGTACCAAATGATCTTCCTGGTCACAAGTGTGATCCTTTTATCCTCCTGACATAAAAGGCCTTCAGGACCCCCCTTTAGTCTACAGGGACACCCTACAGGATGAATGCCAAACCCACAATCCCTTACCTGCAGTTCCAAACCTCAAAAACTTTGTAAAATTTTTAATATTTTTCATAAATATGCGCCCTAACCGGTTTGGGTCTGTGGATAGAGCGTCAACCTGCGTACTGCAAGGTCCCAGGTTGATTCCGGTCAAGGGCATGTACCTTGGTTGCAGGCATATCCCCAGTGGTGGATGTGCAGGAGGCAGCTGATTGATGTTTCTCTCTCATCAGATGTTTCTAACTATCCCTCTCCCTTCCTCTCTGTAAAAAAATCAATATATTTAAAAAAAAAATTTTGCAACAAAACCCACCCTGAATTTGGAAGGCTACTTATTGTCTATCCCATTAAATACATTTTTTAAAAATATTTATTTTATTGCCAAAACCGGTTTGGCTCAGTGGATAGAGCATCAGCCTGCGGACTGAAAGGTCCCAGGTTTGATTCCGGTCAAGGGCATGTACCTTGGTTGCAGGCATATCCCCAGTGGGAGGTGTGCAGGAGACAGCTGATCGATGTTTCTCTCTCATCGATGTTTCTAGCTCTCTATCCCTCTCTTCCTCTCTAAAGAAAATCAATAAAATATATTAAATTTTAAAGTGGGAGAGAGAGAAGCATCAATGATGAGAACCATTGACTGGCTGCCTCCTGGGGATCAAGCCGGCAACCCAGGCCTGTGCCCCTGGCCAGAATCCAACCTGGGACCCCTCAGTCTGCAAGCCGACGCTCTATCCACTGAGCCAAACCAGCCAGGACATTACATCAATATTGTGTCTGATAACGTGTTAACCCACTCCCCCGCTGGAGTATTAAAGACTTTACCAGGAAGAAGAAAATTTCCAAACTATTCTGAAGTCTAAAATCCAAGCGTTTCACAGAAGACGGGGTGGGGAACACCCTGAAATCACTTGGTCTGGGCCTGCCGAGGCATTTAGGGGTGCGTTAATTAAACGTTTGGTCAAATATAGCAAGCTAATAATTTTGTATGGCCCTCCAATGACGTTACAAACATCCAAATGGCCCTCAGCCGGAAAAAGGTTCCCCACCCTGAGGTAAGGCATTAGAGACCCCTCACCTAATCAGTCCAGGAACCCAAATGTCCACCAATCCCCTTACACATCCGTGCAGCGGAGGGATGTGTACGGCGCCCTGAGCTGCTCACCTTTCCAGAAGGTGCTGGGGCTCTCCCCGCAGCGAAGTCTCCCTGACAGCCTCGCCTAGCTTGTGCCTCACCCGCGGCAGGTTTCCTGTTTCCCGTGTGAATGGGCTCCGCACCGAGCATCTTATTCAACCACAGCGGCTGCAGCACTGGGGGCTCATCAATGCACAAGGAGCTGGACTGCGATTCCCAGTTCCCGTCAGAGCCCATCTCCCCCTCACCCCTAAACCTCAGTGTTCCCCCAGCCACCAGGCCCCTCGGGGCTATGCTCCCTGTCAGAGTTTCTCCTTCCCAATGTCATCTTAAGATTGCTTCCCGCCAGGCGCCTTCTCTTCGCCCCAAACTCTCCGAGGCCCTCTCTCTCCTCTCCAGCCCCTGGTCCTTCCCCCTCTCCCAGCGAGACAGCGCCTCTCAGCCTCCCTCCCCGGCCCCGGCCTTCCCCCCGCCCGTCCTCTCCCGGTCCGGGTCCCCGGCCCCAACCTGCTCTCCCAGCCGCACCCGCACCCGCACCCGCACCCCTCCCCGAGGAGCGGGGTCCCCTCCCCCGCGCCCGGCACCCCCTCCCCTCCCCTCCCCCGCCCCCCGGGGCCCGGCTCCCCCGGGACCTGCCCGCAGGCCGGGCCTCCCCCCGGGACCTGCCCCGCAGCCCGGCCCGCGCCGCTCACCCTGCTGGACGTCGCCGTTGCTGCCGCCCGGGAGGGGCACGCTGAGCTGGCGCTCGGGCTCGGGCAGGCAGCGCAGGCAGAAGGAGTGCAGGCAGGGCAGCAGCTTGGGCTCCGCCTCGCGCCGGCTCTGCAGGCTCTGCTGACACACGGCGCAGGTGTCCAGCAGCGAGGCCGGCGGCCCCGGGGGCGGCCCCGCCGAGGGGCCCGGGGCGGGCGCCGCGGCCGCGGCCGGGGCCGGGGCCGGCGCCGGCGCCGCGCCCCCGGGAGCCCCGGGCCCCGCGGAGGCTGCCGGGGCTGAGGCGGCCGGGGTCGAGCCGGAGGCCGCGGCCGCCCCCCCGTCGTCCGGCCCCGCCGCGGCGCCCTCCGCGCCGGCCCGGCCGCCTTCCTCCTCCTCCTCCTCCACCAGCACCGCGGCGAGAGGCGGCTCCGCCTCCTGCGCCGCGGGCCCGCCGGCCCCGGCCGTCCCCGGCGCGCTGCCGCTGCCCCCGCCGCCGCTCTCGCCGTCGCCGCCGCCTTTGTTTTCCGCCATGTTTTCCTCTTTGAACCCGCCGGACCGCCCCGCGCCGCCCGCCGCCCGCGCCGCCGCCCCCAGCCCAGCCGCAGCCGCAGCGAGAGCGGCCGCCGAGCGCGAGCAGGCGAACGAACGGCCGGGAGCGCGCCCGCACGCACGCGGCGCCCCCGCCCTCGCGTCGCGCGGCTGCGGAGGGCGGGGCGCGCGCACGCACGCACGCACGCAGGACGTCCCGGGGGGCGGGGCCTCGGGGCGGGCGCGGGCGCGGGGCAGGCCTCGCAGCTCCTCCAGACCCGGCGGCCGGCGCCGGGCGTGTGCGCCGCCGGGTGCCGCTCGGGGCCGGAGCCGGAGGCCCGGGCGCGCACCGCCTCCAGCGGCGCCTCTGGCTGGGCGCTGGGCGCGGCGCGGGGGCGGGGCGGGGAGAGGGAAAAGGCTGGAGGGCGGGAGGCCGGCTGGTTCCGGGCGGGCGGGCGGCGCGGTCCCCGCCGGTGGCGTCTCCCTGGGCCTCAGCGACGCGGCCAGACGCCCGGGCCTCGGGGCTGCGGGGTGCGGCCCCCTGGGTCTCAGGGCCGCGTTCCTGCGGGTGCTTGTGCCTCGGGGGCGCGGTAAAAGGGCTTTATTTATTTATTTTTTTTCACGGGGCCCGACCAGAAATAGGAAAAGACCGACAGCTGTGTGAGCTTCCTCTCAGACGCGGCTTCGTATCAGAAAACCGATCCACCGTGCGCCCCGTCCCAGCCGAGGTGGCGGGACCACAGCCGGCCTGCCCCCGGGGAGAGGGGCTGCGGGGCGGAAAGCCGCCGGGCCACGGCGACGGGCGTCCCGGGGAGCCGCCTGTCCGACCCCGCTGTCCCCTCAGCCCCCGGACCGCCTGTCCGACCCCGCTGTCCCCTCAGCCCCCGTACCGCCTGTCCGACCCCGCTGTCCCCTCAGCCCCCGGGACGGCCTGTCTGACCCCGCTGTCCCCTCAGCCCCCGGGACCGCCTGTCCGACCCCGCTGTCCCCTCAGCCCCCGGGACCGCCTGTCCGACCCCGCCGTCCCCTCAGCCCCCGGGACGGCCTGTCCGACCCCGCTGTCCCCTCAGCCCCCGGGACGGCCTGTCCGACCCCGCTGTCCCCTCAGCCCCCGGGACGGCCTGTCGGACCCCGCTGTCCCCTCAGCCCCCGGGACCGCCTGTCCGACCCCGCTGTCCCCTCAGCCCCCGGGACCGCCTGTCCGACCCCGCTGTCCCCTCAGCCCCCGGACCGCCTGTCCGACCCCGCTGTCCCCTCAGCCCCCGGACCGCCTGTCCGACCCCGCTGTCCCCTCAGCCCCCGGGACCGCCTGTCCGACCCCGCTGTCCCCTCAGCCCCCGGGACCGCCTGTCTGACCCCGCTGTCCCCCCCGGGACCGCCTGTCCGACCCCGCTGTCCCCTCAGCCCCCGGGACCGCCTGTCCGACCCCGCTGTCCCCTCAGCCCCCGGGACCGCCTGTCCGACCCCGCTGTCCCCTCAGCCCCCGGGACCGCCTGTCCGACCCCGCTGTCCCCCCCAGGACCGCCTGTCCGACCCCGCTGTCCCCCCCAGGACCGCCTGTCTGCCCCCGCTGTCCCCCCCGGGACCGCCTGTCTGACCCCGCTGTCCCCTCAGCCCCGGGACCGCCCTGTCCGACCCCGCTGTCCCCCCCCAGGACCGCCTGTCTGACCCCGCTGTCCCTCAGCCCCCGGGACGGCCTGTCTGACCCCGCTGTCCCCACCCCAGGACCGCCTGTCTGCCCCCCGCTGTCCCCCCGGGACCGCCTGTCTGACCCCGCTGTCCCCCCCCGGGACCGCCTGTCTGACCCCGCTGTCCCCCCCGGGACCGCCTGTCTGACCCCGCTGTCCCCCCAGGACCGCCTGTCTGACCCCGCTGTCCCCCCGGGACCGCCTGTCTGACCCCGCTGTCCCCCCCGGGACCGCCTGTCTGCCCCCGCTGTCCCCCCGGGACCGCCTGTCTGACCCCGCTGTCCCCCCGGGACCGCCTGTCTGACCCCGCTGTCCCCCCCGGGACCGCCTGTCTGACCCCGCTGTCCCCCCGGAGCCCCCGGCGTCCCGGGGAGTGGGATGGGGAGCCCTGCCGGTGCGGGCCATGGGAGCCTTGCGAGAGGGTCGTCTCTGTTTGACAACATGCGCGCGGTGGGGCGGGGGAGGGGTAGTTCTGCAACGTCCCGCTTTTTAAATTTATATATATATATATATATAATTATTATTATTATTGATTTTTTACAGAGAGAAAGGGAGAGAGATAGAAACATCAATGAGAGAGTCATCAATCAGCTGCCTCTTGCACACCTCCTACTGGGGATGTGCCCGCATCCAAGGCACATGCCCTTGACCGGAATGGAACCCGGGACCTTTCAGTCCGCAGGCCGATGCTCTACCCACTGAGCCACACTGGTTTCGGCCAGACGTCCCGCTTTTTAAATAATTTGTCCTGTGGCATTTTAAAAAGTCCCGATTTTTTAAAAGTCTAGTCACCTTAACAAAGGTCGTTTTCATGATAGGATCCTGAAGGGCTTTTCTTCTTTTAGCTGGTATAAACCCTTACAGGAAGCCACCTGAAAACATCTGGAATTGATTTGTTCAGGAAATACTGACCTCCTCTATGTATCATGTGTCGAGCAGTGTTTTAGAGACTCGGGCATTACAGCAAAGCGCAAAGGGGGTTCTGGACTTTAACTTTTAAACTTGCCAGCCCCCACCCCCATAAACAAGTAAACAAACAATAAATGTGCCAGTTTTGAAGCAATGCCTAAACATGCATCAGACCTCCAGATAACCCTCTTATTACCCCTGAAGGACTCGCCAATTTGGACCACCTGACACCGCACTGCTAACTATCTTGGACTGATCTTAGGGCTAAGAATACAGGACTAATTATGCTCAAGAATGCTGCTTCTATAGGAACTCTTTTCTTTCTTCTTACGGGGTTTCTACTATTGTGGTGTAACCACGAATCACACAAAGGACACTTCAATCAAGAAGTCGAATTACGGGGCTACAAGGGGGTAATAGCGCCAAATCTCGCAGCCCCGAAATGCTGGCACCCTCAGGCTTATATAGGCAAACATCACAAAGGTATCGGTGACATCTTCGGGTTTGGAATGAGGAAGCCGGTTTGTACAAAGCAATTACAGAAGCGAAACTGAGCAAGTTGTCTACAGGGATTAATTATAGTTTTGGGTCTTTGGAGCACTGAATCAATGGAAACACATTATCTGGAGCCACGGAGGCAATTTAGAATTGTGCCGTCTGGTCTTGGGACCACGGAGTCTACCGAAACGCGTTATCTGGAGCCATGAGGTTCCCCACAATTTAGAGTAATTGTCTGTCCTGGTCTCCAGGTTCAGAAGAATGTGTTTCAATGACCAGTAAGATCACAATCGAGGGGATATTCAAACCACCGCCAATGGAGTATTCAATCCATTGGGATGGCATATGTAAGTCCAGAAAATCAATAACTTTTCTACTGTTTTGTCAAGCAAATGAGTATGCAAGCCACACAGCAGGGTTAAAGTTAAACTGCAGTTTCTACCCAAGATGATTGCTACTATGCTTCATTGCCTAGTTGTGTTTCCGGCTTGCAAACCTTAAGATCCTTGAATAGCCGAAACCGGTTTGGCTCAGTGGTTTGATTCCGGACAAGGGCATGTACCTTGGTTGTGGGCACATCCCCAGTGGGGGGTGTACAAGAGGCAGCTGATAGATGTTTCTCTCTCATCCATGTTTCTAACTCTATCCCTCTCCTCTCTGTAAAAAAATCAATAAATATATATATTTTTTAAATCCTTGAATAAATCATTTATTTCTAATCAAAGCCTCCAAACTCTTTTTGAGTTTGTTCAACACTAATAAAGGAAGATTGAAAATCAATTTCTGACAATAACTCTAATTATGGGCAAGGCCTTCCATTTAGGTTCTTTTAACAGGCAGGTCAAGTTTCTCTTGAATCTGCAGGGACTTGGTTGCTTTTAGCTCAAAATAATCCCCAGACCCAAGTGGCACATCTTAGGGAGACCTATTCTGAACCCCTTTATTCACAATATCTAGAAGGTGGAAACAGCACGTGTCCGTTGAGTGATGAATAAACAAAATGTGGTGTGTTATTCAGCCTTACGAAAGGGTATCCTGACCCATGCAACAAAATGGATGAAACTTCTAGATATTATGCTAAATGAAATAAGCCAGGCACTAAAGGACAAGTACTAATATGTTTCTACTCACATGAAATACTTAAAGGAGTCAAGTTCATAGACAAAAAATAAAATGGTGTTTGCCAGGAGCTGGGGGAAGGAGAAAAAGGAGAGTTAATTGCCCTAACCGGTTTGGCTCATTGGATAGAGCGTTGGCCTGCAGACCGAAAGATCCCGGGTTCGATTCCGGTCAAGGGCATGTGCCTTGGTTGCGGGCACATCCCCAGTAGGGGGTGTGCAGGAGGCAGCTGACCCATGTTTCTCTCTCTTTGATGTTTCTATCTCTCTCCCTCTTCCTTCCTCTCTGTAAAACATCAATAAAACACACACACACACACATATATATATATATATATATATATATATACAGTATATATATATATTTTTTTAATGGAGAGTTATTTTTAATGGGTATGGAGTTCCATTTAGGAAAGATGAAAGTTTTGGAGGTGCATGGTGGTAATGGCTGCACAACAATGGGAATGTATATTAATGCTACTGAACTGTACACTTAAAAATGGTTTAAAAAATCGTTTAAAAGGTCCTGCTGGTATGGCTCCACGGTTAGGAATCAATCTATAAACCAGGAGGTCATGGTTTGATTCCTGGTTAGGGCACATGTCCGGGTTGTGGGCTCAGTTCCCAGTGGGGTGTGCAGGAGGTAGCCAATCAATGATTTTCTCTCATCATTGTTTCTATCTCTCTCTCTCCCTCTCCATCTCTCTTTTTAAAAAAATCAATGAAAACGTATAAAAAAAAGTTTGCCGAAACCGGTGTGGCTCAGTGGATAGAGCGTCGTTCTGTGGACTGAAGGGTCCCAGGTTCGATTCCGCTCAAGGGCATGTACATTGGTTGTGGGCACATCCCTGGTAGAGGGTGTGCAGGAGGCA